ATAAAAAGACAGAAAGTAAATTTCTTGATTACTAAAAACCTTGCCAGGGCTCTGGCTCTCTCTCTGGAGCACCACCCTTCCCTCCCTCCCCTCTTCTTCCTCCAGGCTGTTCCCTTTACCTTCAGGTCTCTCCTAAGCTCCAAGGGCCCCTCTCCTGCCTCCGTAACTCGTTTCCTGAGTCCACGCAGCCCAGCTGGCTCACTTCTACCACATGACTTTCTAAATAAACGTTCGCTTGCATTAAAAAAAAAAAAGAAAAAACAAAGCCTAACCAAAAAAACCTCTGTCCCATCTAAAACTTTTGTACAAATTTGTTATGTGCAGTTATGACTTTATTATTCAGCTTTGTCTATAGATTTAACCAGTGCTTTGGGAATGGAAATTAATAAACTAAAAAACAAAATGTTTATCATCAGGGAAAGGAAGAAAGGGATTTAGGGAAATGTTTATTTGGGTTGCTATGATGACAGAACAAGCCATCACAACAACATCCTTTCTTTCCCATTTGTCAGATTTTTGGCTTGACAGAGTTTAAGAAACAGTCAATGTCCATCCTAAAGATGAAACGGAGCAAAAATGTTAACGTAAATTTGACAGATTTTTGGCCCCACTTAAAACCCTTTTAAACTCCTGCAGTATTCACCACACTGCTGCTTCCTCTTACAGTGGGCACTCACTGACAAGGACGAGTAAATGAACTGTGTGGTGGGGGCGGGCGCTGGGGGCAGTGCCTGCAGGCCTCAAGCAGGCCAATGTCCACCCTGGGGCGGCACAGGGCCACTCCCGAGTGTGTGGCATGCCCTGCTCCCGGGCACTGCTCTGTGGTATTGTGAAGATCGGAGCTACGGACAGAAATCAGAGGAACGGGCGAGAAGAAGAGGCGCAGGAGAGAAGACAGGCTCTGGCCTTCCTGCTCTGGAACCTCATGCACACGATGCTTTTTGGCGGAGTTCGCAGTTAAAGCTGCAAGAGGCGGTGGAGAACGTGTCCCGACTTCTGAGCACAGTCTAGGCCGAGGCCCAGGAGGCAACATGTGCTTGAGAATCCTGGGAGAGAGGACCCACGACAATAAGGTGGAGGAGGGCACTGAGGTGTGCACTGTGTCCTCAGCATCCTCCAGCTCTGGGGCGCCCAAGACCAGACTCATGGCCCGGTAGGCAGCAGTGGCAGGGACATGCCTTCCAGACGACTTTTTTTTTTTAATCCTCACCGGAGGATATACTTATTGATTTCAGAGAGAGTAAAACGGAAGGAGAGAGGGAGAGAAACATCAATCAGTTGCTTCTCATATGTGCCCCAACTGGAGACCGAACCCCCAACACAATTAGGTGCCCTGACCGGGAATCGAGCCCACGAGCCCTCAGTTTACAGGACAATGCTCCAACGCACTGAGCCACACCAATCCGGCCCCAGATGGCCTCTAACGCATTCGATCAGCTGGGAGAAAAGCAAGCATCCGGAAGGTCTTTGGTCTGCCTTCCCTGCTGCTGGGAATCATGGAGCACCCACGCCAAGGGGCCTTGCAGGAGCTGTGTCGTCCACGTCCCCATTTCCCAGCTGGGCAGCTGAGGCGGCCAGCCCCTGGGGCACTCTAGGAAGCACAGGAAGTCCTAGGGGGTGAGTCCTGGGCCAGGCAGAAGGGTAGGGTGCTTAGCAGATTCTGGGCCAGGGTGTCTGGGAGGACAAGCACCAAGGAGCTTAGTCCTTGAAGGCCCAGAGCAAGGCCCAAGAAGCCAGGGAATTTCAGAGCTGGGAGAGACTTTGGGGTCATGAAGACCCACCCATCTCACCGGGGCCGCGGCTGGGAGTGTGAGGGAGGGGCCCTGGGGGGAGGAAGCACGGACGTCCTAGCTTCTTTAGGCTACAACTCTGGCCCAGCTGCCAAGCACTAAGGAAATCTTAATGGTGTGTTTTTTAAAAGACTTTCCTCATTCACACATTTTTGTGGGCGGACAGCCCTCCGCCCCCACCGCAGGTCCTCTTCTCCTCTGCCCTGGAGCCAGGCTGGCCAGTCCCTACCCCGGCTCTCCCACTAAGATTCCCTCGAGCAAAGCAACTCAGTCTCTGTGCTTCTTAGTTTCCTATAGTGGAGCCCGTCAGACAGAGTCGTGAGTGCCTGAGAGCACACGCGGAGCCCTCGTGAGCCGGCCCAGAGACCGCCTCCCAGTGGCCCGGGCCTGTGGCTGTGGCGCTGCCGGGTCATGGGGCTGCCCCTCAGGCCCCTCCAACTGTGTTTTTTCCTGCTCTGGACTCAGAGCTCCGCGGGCCTTTGATTGTTTATCTTTCCACCTCTTCAGGTCTGCTTAGAACTAGTGCCGAGTGGAAAGATCATTTATTGGGCGAGAGGGAACACTTTGAGCCATCTGTAACAGGACAAGCACAGGTTGCCTGTGGGGACAGTGAGACACTGGATCCCTAACAAGTCACAGCTACGAGGGGCCTGGGTGCAGACGAGCCCGTGCCTCTTAACTGAGGAGACCCAGGGCCGACAGCTCAGGATGCCGGGGGTCCCTCCCTACTCCAGGAAGGCGGCCCTGGGTGATGAGATGAACATGCATGTCTGAAAGCCTAAAGGGTCTAAAAATGTAACGAAGGTATTCCACCCCCGCATGCGCACACACGCAATAAAACGCTGCGGCCGTGGCCTTGCTCTGGACCCAACATAATCCGCATTCCTGCCGCTGCCTCCTCCCCTGCAGAAATCCCGTCAGTGGCCCGTCTGGCAGCTGCTGCATCAGGAAACACCCAGGGGGCAACACAGCCTGGCGCTCACCCTGGCCGGCCGCAGCTGGCGCTCTGTGCCCTCGTGTTCAAAACGACTCAATCTCTGAGCGGGGAAGCCGGGCACCATGAAGGTGGGGTGAGGGAACTCCAAGGTCCCTCCAATTAGACCCCAGGGTGACTGTCTCCTCCACAAAGCCGCCCCAGAGCCAGGGGCAGGGGCAGGGGCAGGAGCCAGTCACAGCGACACTATGAAGACAGGGTCCCTTCATTTTCTGCTGTCCCTCATTACAGCAGCTCTTGGGTGGGGCTGCCCCAGGGTGCAGCCTGTCAACCCAGAGATCTGCCCAGGCACAAGGTAGAGGTGGCCAAGTCCCTTCCCACCAGTCTTTGTCCTAAGCACTTCCAGGTGTCCTGGTGGCCAGATACCTCCCCTCCGCTGCCCCCGAGGGTGCGTTTGTCTTTGACCAGGCTCCCTCCCTTCCTGCTCCCCTTCTCCCTGGAGGAAGCCTGCTAGGATGGGGGCCTCGTGCTCCCAGGCTGGATGGCTTCTCTCCAGCCACGCTTATCATCTCCTCGGACATTTTCTCAGGCTGACCCCTCCAGAGCCTAACATCTTGTAACCCAGCAGCAAGCTCCTCAGGGGACCGTCTGCCCCCATCTGGGACCCTGGTGGCCACTAGGTTTACTCCCTGGCCTTCCCTTCTTGCCTAGGCCTTTCTGAAACTGTCCCTTTCCCCTCCCCCAAAGTCAAGCCTGAGAATGTCCAATTAGAAGACAGCAGGGCTGCCAGAGAACGCAGACGCAGACGGGACTAGGGACTAGGGCACTGATGAAATCCGATCCTGGTCACCGAAGGGTTATTGCTCACCCGTGGCTTCCAGGGCCCCCACCTTGAGAACTCTCTGGCCTGAGCTCCCCAGGGCCCGGGGCTTGGAGAGCTGCCCCGCGCCCAGCACCAGCTGCAGGCTCTGAGACAGGGCTGCTCCCTGAGCTGACAAGCGTGCCCGGGGAGTACAGTAACCGTGACACCGAAAGTGAAGAGCTAATGGGAACACATGGTGGGAGCGGGCTGGGAAGAGCCAAGTGGCTGCTGTCCAAAGGGAGCATCGTCAAGGTGACCAGATGGCTGGATGGCGGGGGCGGGGGCTGGATTCCATCTCCTACCACACCCCCTGACGAGCTCCACATTCATACACTTTGTCCTTTCCATTCCTTCCCTTTTCTTCTTCCTTCCTTTTGTTTTCCAGAGTTGATAGGCGTACTTCCTCTCTAAACCACAGTTCTTCCATTTGTGTGTTTTTGGCAGATGAGCTTCTCTCCAGATGGACTTCTCGGCTGCCCCATCTGCCTCTCCCGGTCGCTGGCCCCTCCCCAGCCGGGCCCCATGTCTCAGCCCTTCTGGGGCTGCTGCCGCCACTCACGCTTCTGTGTCCTCAGTCCAAAGGGCAGAGGCTCCGGTTCAGGATGATGAGCATGCCAGGGATTCTTTTCAGAAGTTTAGAACTAGCCCCGATCCCTATCTGCATCTCCTTTGCACCTTCCTTGATTTGGGATATGGCCCTGCAATCACTGAGTGTGCCATTTGCCATTGGGGGGGGGGCACCCTACTGGGCAGTGAGCATGTGAGGTGCTGTGACTGATTTCACCAGGGACGGCAGGGGTGCTTCAGGACACGCCTGCGCCCTTTAGCAAGGCCTTGCAGTCCGTCCATGAACCAGCCGTCACCTCTGCGGCTCCTCACTTCCTCCGACTCCACCTCCCTCTCTGCTCAGCTGCAGTGAACTGCTCAGCCTCCTGCATCCTCACCCTTGAAGGGACAGCTCCTGTTGCCTGGACTGTCCTAGCCTCTGGAGGAATGAGCCTGCTCTGGGAGTGAGTGCCCTCCTCGGTCCCCAGCACACACCGCCTCTCGAGACTCCCCACAGGGCACTGGGTGGTCTGTTCACTTCCCTGTCCCCACAATGTACTGAGAGCTCCTTGAGGGTCTTTCCCCCATTTCCAGAACATGGTAGGTGCCTAATACAAAGCAAAATAAATGAAAATACCAGATACCAAATACCAGACCAGGCTAAATACCAGGTTAAGTGTTGCACAGGCCTGCCTCGGTTTACGCCACATGTGTGCTTCAGATCCTGCCGGCTCAGCGGCCCACCGACTCCCTGTCGCCTCAGAGGAGCTGCCTCCGCAACCCTCAGCCATTGCCCGCCTCAAGACTTCAGACGGTCCAAGACTGCCTGCCAGACAAGCACTTTAGCAGCAGTAGCCGCGGAAGGTACCTGAGTTTGTCTGCGATGAAGATGACCCTCCTCTCCAAAAGCAGGGAGGCGAAAACACAGAGCAGGTGGCGGACGCTGAGAGAAGAAAAGAGACACTCGAAGTCCACGTGTTCCAGCCGGGAGTCCAGCGGGCGGCACAGCTCGATCACCTGCCGGGAACAGGAGCAGCCATGAAGGCCTGGCCTGCTCGGCCCAGCCTCTCACGCATCAGGCCGTCCTCAGCAGGGGCGGCCCACCGGCGGCAAAGGGAAGGGGAAAAGGAAAACAAAAGGGGCTGGGGAAAAGAAAGAACCCAGAACGCTAGCGGAGGGGCAGCTGGAAGAGAAGCACGTGCCTCACATGCAACTATGAGGCTGAGGACAGAGCAGACGGAGGTGGGGAGAGGTTGGCAGGAGCAGTGGCTCTTGGGCGCAGACCATCAGAGGCTCTCCTGGCAATGACATACCTGGACTCCTGACGGAGTCCTGTGACTGCTAACGATGTGCTACCCCTTAACACCCCACAGGTGAGTGTCTGTGTCAGAGGCAGTGTCACTTGCTGGAGTGGAATCACAGGCTCACACAGAGACCCGGCAGATCCGAGCGGCACTTCCCAGACTCATTTCCTCTAGAAGGCGTTTCTCAACGGACCAGCCCCACCCCAAGCCCTCCCCAGGTGGTGTCTTCCCGCCAGGAAGGTGAGTGTGTACATCTTCTCATTCTGCACCTGCCATGCGGGTCCTGCACTCGCGCCGGCTGCTACTCCCGCACACAGTTCTCCTCTGCAGGTGCCTACCCTGTCACTTGGCACAGGGCCTGCTCAGTGCTGTCCGCATGGCAGGCTCACTAGTGCTGACGCCCTCCGGCCAAGCCACCTGCACGTACAGGATGGCTCTGCAGCCGTAGGGAGACGGCTCCCCTCTGTGCTGGGACTTCGCTGTTCCAGAATGTCCCAGGCCCATCCTCATCCCTCCCCGTCTCCACAGGTGACTTGTTTTCCCAAGGCCTTTGGAACTAGAGCTCCAAGTCCGCATGGGATATGCCTTCTGAGGTCCACAGAGCCAAACTGGGGGAGTGGGAAGCAAACAAGCTTCTGCATCAAATGCGGGCCCAGCCCAGGACAGGGACCTGCTCCCAAGTCCAGGGTGAATAAAAAATGGTGCCTGAGCTCGCCTCCCCTGAAAACAATCTGCTTTACGTGACAAAGAGACAGAGCTGATGCAGTCCAAAAACGTGAATAGGTTCACGTACAATTCGTGAAAGCAGTGGGCTACAATGAAAAGCCAAGGATGCTCTGTGCAGGTCTGCAACCTGTGAGGCCAACATCATGCGAAGACTCACACGTGCAGCCATGGCGTCGTTCTGGGGTGCCTCTCGGGGCCCGAGTCCTGGGCGGGATGGACTGGACTTTGGGAGGGAATTATGACAGCTGCCAAGCAAGAGGGCGCCGCTCATGCCGGCCGTCCACCAGAAGCCAGCCCCTCCAGCCACCGGGCCTTGGCTGTCTGGGCCACTCTGCCCGAGGACAGGAAAGGAAGCTGACTGCTCACCTCTGTTCCTGTTCCTGGCAGGAAATTCTTGACAGCGATCGTTTTGCCCAGGGCTGGGAAAGGGGCTTCCATGACACTCCTCATGAGGGGCTGTACCAGTGCAGGAGAGATGCGTCGACGTTTCTCCACCTCGTCCAAGATCTGCAGGGGTCAGAACAGCGGCTCAGCCATCCTGAAGTCGGGGCACCAAGCTGTCACTCTGTTCCCGAGAAAGCGGGCCTGCCCGCAGACTGGAGGGGACGGGGAAGCCCTGCTGTCCTCCTCACCCTGTGATATGGCCCCAATTCCCTCCCCTCTGTGACCACTCCCTCTGCTGTGTGACATGGCAGCTCCTCCGACTAAAGGGGTGAAGTGTAATTCCTTGCCCCTCTTGACTTTGGGTTTGTCCATGGGAGTTACTGGTCATTCTCAGTGGGAGGAATATACAAATATGCTAAAAGCCACTGAATTGTATGTTTTAAATAGGTAAATTATATAATGAGTTCTTGTGCAATAAAACTGCTACCAAAAAATTCAAATGCAAGATACTCTACAATTTAGTTATAAATCAAAGAGTTTAAATAAAAATGCCATTTACGGGGAGTTGGAGGGAGGCAGAAGAGGGTAAAGGGGGGATAATGGTGATGGAAGGAGACTCAACTTGGGGTGTTGAACACGCAATATACAGATGATCTATTATAGAACTGCACACCTGAAACCTATATAATTTTATTAACCAATGTCACCCCAATAAATTCAACAAAAATTATAAATGTCACACTTCAATTATACCTTAATAAAAATGGAAAAAAAGAAAAAAATGCCACTTATAAAATCACACATTACCTACTGAACCCTTGAAAAATAGCTAGTCTGCATTGAGATGTGTTGTAAGTATAAAACACTCAGTGGATTTCAAAACACAATATTAAGAATATAAAATATCAATGACTTTTCATATTGATTACATATGTTGAAATGATAATAATTTGTATGTATTGAGTTAAATAAAATTATTAAAATTAAATACATAGTATGGCAGTTCCTTAAAAAATTTAACACAAAATTATCATATGATCTAGCAATTCCACTTCTGGATATAAACCCAAAAGAACCGAAAGCATCCCTGGTGTGGCTCAGCGGATTGAGAACTGGCCTGAGAACCAAAGGGTTGCTGGTTCAATTCCCAGTCAGGGCACATGGGTGGGCTGCAGGTCAGATCCCCAGTGGGGGGCAGGGCGCAAGAGGCAACCATACATTGATATTTCTCTCTCCCTCTCTCTCTCCCTTTCTCTGAAAATAAATAAATAAAATTTTTTAAAAAAAGAATTGAAAGCAGAGACTCAAACACACATTTGCACACTCATGTTCACAACAGCATAATTCATAATAGCTAAAAGGTGGAAACAACCCAATTGTCCATCAACTGATAAATGGGTAAACCAAATATGGTGTATGCACATTATGGAGTATTATTCAGACTTAAAAAGTTAAGAAATGTTCACCTGTGTTCCTACATGGACGAGCGGAGGACACGTGCTACGTGAAATAAGCCAGTCAGAAAAGGACAAATGCTGTGTGATCCCACTGACATGAAATGCAAGAGTGGCCAGATTCCTAGGGACAGAAGAGAGAGTGGTGGCTGCCAGGGGCTGTGGGCGCGGTGGGGGGGGATGGAGAGTGCCGAACAGGCACGGAGTCCCAGTTTGGGAAGACGCAGAAGTTCTGCAGGTGGATGGCGGTGACGGTTGCAGAACAATGTGAATGAACTTGATGTCAATCAACTGTACACTTTGAAATGGTTAGAGCTGTAAGTTTCATGTTATATATATTTTAGCACCATAGAAAGATGACAAAAACATTTAAAAGAATTTCATAGGGAGGAGAGGCAATTCAGGGAGAAAAGTATCTAAAAGGGCTGCGTAGTGGAACGATAATGAAAAAAGCGTTGAGGCGCAGAGGGCCGGAGGAACGAGCGTGCCAGCGCTGAGCCCAGGCCTCCGCAGGCCAGCCCTACGTGCTCCTGCTTGCCCTCTTGTGCCTCTGCCGTAGCCCTGAGAAGGGCACACCGGGGCCAGCCCGCTGTCTAAGGGCGATGGCAGACATGTGGCTCTGGCCCAGACCTGGACGTGCAGCCTAAAACAGAGACCAGCCAGCCTAGATCACTGCCCCCAGCCTACTCAGAGCACACGGGGGAGCCCCGTGGGGGTCAGCACAGCCAAACCCCAGCTGACCTGCACGTCTGTGAGAATAAATGACTCTTGCTTTCAGCCTCAGTGGTTTGCTACACGGCATTATTGTGGCAATATTTAATGGAACACCTTTCTTCAGAGATTCTGAGAGCAGTTCTTCCTATGCACGATCCCTTTCTTTGCCCTTTTAGTCGTCCTTGTCCCCCACCCGAAAATAGCCTCAGTTCTAGGAATCAGTTTGCCCAAGGTGTTTCTGGCTCTATCCTGAGTGTTTTCTGTGTGGTCTTTGGCAAGTCACAACAGTACACTCCTAAAATATCCCCGGCCACAAAACTGAGATGAAATCTCAGGACCGTGCATCACACATGCATGTTGGCACGTTTACTTGCTGCACATCCCCTGCACAGGACCCAGGAATGAGGCTCATGTGAATTCCAAGGCTGCCCCTGGACGCCGGGCTAACTCGCATGAGCTGGTTTACTTCCAGCTCTCCTGAGCGCTCTCACAACAACAAAGGCCGTGACCTACAGCTTTTTCTCCACCTCTAAACAAAGCCACGTGAAAGACTTGCATGAGCGGCAGTGCATACCTGTGCAAGAATCTATAAACAACCAACTTCAATGTAGAATGATTACCACTAGTGGAGTGGAGGTAAGACCACATCTCAGGTTACAGTGATACTACTAATTATTTCAAACAGACGGGCATCAAAGTACAAGTTGGAGCATGGCAAGGGGTCACACTGTATCAGTTGAGCTCAGACTTCCTCTGAGCTGGGGGTGGGGCGGAGGGTGTGCAGGAGGTGGCCTTTGGTTCCTGAATGCTTTCAGGAAGCGCTGCCTCACGTCCATGGGCAGTGGGCGCGGGGCTGCAAGGCTCCGAGGGAAAGCTCCAACCGAAACATGCTCGAGAAGGTTTTTCGTCAATTTATGCTTTAGATGTCCATGTCTAGTTAGTATAGGAAGCAAATGTTGGATTATATCTGATTTTTGAGATCAGCATTATAGAGCGTAATAATTATCTCCTATACTCCAATCCAAAATACTGGGGTGGATGGGCCAACTCAACGTGGCAATTCCTGTATCTTGATGTATTGGCTTGTTTTACCAAAAAGAGGACCAAATTATATTAAGATTTCAACAGACTTAGAGCACTATTACAATAATAAATTGCACACGTGCACAACACATATATACAGATACACATCCAGCCAGCCAGCCAGCCAGGCAGCCACCCACCCATCCATCCATCCATCAGTCCATCCGTCCGTCCGTCCAATGGTTTTTTTGTCCAGCAAAAGCTAGTATGACAAAGACGATGCTTAGAAGAAAAGTAAAACATCTGGAATACCCTGGAAGACCCTCTCCTCTCCCAACCTCAGCTACAGTTACTTTGACTCTCTCTCTCTTCCCAGTTTCCTTCATTGTCTGTTATTTCCTGTCCCGATGAAGAGAGAACAGAGGCAGCCATGACGGGGGAGGAGGAAGTGGGAAGGGACACAGTGAAGAATCAGATGATAAAAGCCCCAGAAGCTGGCGCATTTCCTGTGTCCTCCTGGGCCCTGCCTCCTTCTTTGGAGGCCCAAATCCTCACCTTTGAAAAGAGGCTGAAGCATCCCAGGCGGCTCACGATGCAGTAAACTTCAGGGAGACGCTTCCCTTTGCCACCCGGCTTTTGGGAGAGAAACACAGGAAATCCTGAGTGTTACCAGCCTCAGGGAAGGACAGAACCCGAACGTTTTTGAAAGCCTATTGTGTGTCAGATGTTTGCACATACCATCCCTTCTGACATCTTGGTAAGGTAAGGAGTAACCAATACCCTATTCTATAGGTGGGAAGCACTTCTGGTCACACAGTAGATATGTATTTTACCCTTATGAAGGAATCAGTCAAGGGTGTTGTGCACACCGTAGGTACTCTATATGACCTGGGGAACCCAAGCATAATTTGTTTATCCAAGTCGCTGTAGCCCCTTTTTAAGGAGTTACATTGAGACTGTATATTTATAATGATAATTCCAAAGTAGGGATCATTTCTGAAAGTCCTTTCTGGAAACTGACTTTTAATTTTCAAACCAAAAAAGAAAATCAGTACCAATACTTTAGCCCTGGCTTGTGTGGCTCAGTAGATTGTGCGCCAGCCTATGAACCAAAGGGTCACCAGTTCGATTCCCAGTCTGGACACATGCCTGGGTTGCTGGCCAGGTCCCCAACAGTGAGCACATAAGAGGCAACCATACACCAATGTTTCTTTCCCTCTCTTTCTTCCTCCCTTCCCTTCTGTCTAAAAATAAATAAAATCTTTTTTAAAAAATCAATACTTTATCAACAAAAATTATGATCCCACTTAACATTTTCAAGTATTACCTATACTTCTGATTCACTAATTCAACAAACATTTACTGAACAGCTACTATGGGCCATGCATTATTCTAGACTCTAAATTATATTAGCCTACTTCTAAGACTAAAATCATGCTTAGTGGAAAATGATTTGTCACTATTGAAGCTTTTCAAAAGAACAGGTCTCAAAAGACAAGTTTTCAAGCATTTTAGCAAGGTCAGTTCATTGGGATAGTTTCTGACTTTTAAAGATGACTGTTCTGAAGGAGACACTGCACTGAATTACTTGAGTCATGAAGAGTAAAACCGACATTTTCCTGCCCTTAGCCATCATGATGAACGTTCTCTCTAAGGTCTGTTTAGCATGTTTTATTAGGAAGGACATTTGGATAAAGAAGAGAAAGTCTTTGGTGGGGGAAAACACTGGAGGAAGTATTTTCTTTCAAAGGACAGAGACATTGTTCCCATCTGTCAGGGAGATTCAGGTGAACCCCCAACCTTCCTGCGGGGTCTCAACTACCCAGTCAACCTGCCACAGCGGTCCCTCCTCCCGTGGCACACAGTGACACCTTGGGAAGCCCGCGCTGGCTCTGCACGGCTGGCTGAGAAGCAAATGCACTAACCAGCAGTCTTCGGCAGTAACCAAACCTTCTGGCCCCGTCCTCTCCCGTTAAGACAAATGAGAATGTTTCACTGTGGTGGGGAAAACAGAAGTGCGTTACAAAGCAAAGCAAAACAAAGGCACATCGCAGTGAACAACTGGAACATCCTGATGGAGGCTGGCTGTCCCAAAGGCCGCTCCCTGTCCTGCCTGTCCATCTCTGTTCTGGGACTCTGGTTCCCTCTGGCTTTGGAGTTCACGTCAGCGATAGAGAGTTCTCAAGTGTTACTGTGTCCTGAGAGGAAACGAGGACTTTTTTTTTTTTTACACTGAGCTCTCACACAACTCTTTCACCTGAGTCCTCCCAGGACATAAAACACGGTCATTTATTAAGCATCGATTGTGGCTACCACCTTCAATGAGCTCGGGGTGAGGCTGCACCCGCTGACATAGGGTGCCAATCCGCGAGGGAGCGGCAGCTGAGTGGGACAGTTTGGTGCCCCTCCCAGAACTGCCCCGGGGCACGGCATCCCCAGGGGACTGTCTGTCCAGAGCCACCCCGGGGCTTGGACTGTCTTTAGAGACTGGTGGGCCAACTTTGAGGAACACAACATCCCTCAAACATTTAGGATATGCAACCTACTGAGTCTGGTCAATTGTTGAACATCTGATAATAAAAATACCGTATCTAACCACATGGGGTAAAGTAGAAATGTGAACTTATTGCAACTCAAGTTACAGCTGGATGGGCTACTGAAGAAATGTTTCAGAAGATCTGGACAAGAATGGGTGATGGGCAATGTTTCCCTAACTTTTCCTACACTACGAATTAGCTTACTGCCCTTTGCAAAGGCTTATGAAGTAAACAAAGGCTCCGAATGAGTGGGAGGCCTGGGGATCTGCATACTTAGCAAGGTTACTCCCACCTTCAGGAAACTTAAAAACCCTGTGAGGGAAACCTCCAGGCCTGGGCCCAGCAGGCTCCTTTGATGGCAGGCCTGACTGATGGGGTCTGCCAGCTCCAACCGCATCTCCAGTCCTCACCTTAGTCTTTGCGGGAGGGGAGGGGAGACGCCAGCATGTACCTGGTAAACTGCTCGACAGGAGTCCAGTCCTTGGCATCGGGGAAGCAGAACTGAGGGATGGCCTTCAGCTGGTCCTCAGCCTCTCTCATGAACTTGAAAGACCTTTCCAGCTGCCAGAAGAAGGGCGAGAGAAGGTTGGAGAATAAAGCCCAGCACGGGAGAGTGAGGGGGAGGCGGGGCAAGAGGACGTCTCCCACCTTCCCCCAGTTGTGACCTCCACCTTGATCCCCTCCCTTGAGGGGTTCCGGGCTCTTCCCCGCAGGGCAGTTCTAACTATGCCTTTGTGGGGGGAGCCAGAAGAAAAAAGGTGTGCTTTAGAGAAATGTTTTCTATGCATAACATTCCGGAATATAACTACTTTAATCCATAAGGAAAAACTGTCATAGCAACGCCTTCCAAACAGGAGGCTCATGAGCCTGCAAGGCCGAGCCTCAAATCAAGTCTTCACACCCTGGGCCCAGGCAGAGCTGCCCCTCCTGCAAAGCAGATGTACAACACTTTTTAGTGAATGCACCCAGTTACGTTATATCATACAGTGAAATTCACCTCATCAGAACTAGCAAACTGCACGTCATCCAGCCTGACACTGTTCTTTTAGAGATACAGGATTAAGCAGCCCAGAGATACTATCTATTCATGATCACACAACTAGTATGGAATCGGGCTAGGAATAAAATTGATCTTAATCTTTAATTTGTCAGTCTTTCTCTGATTTATCTGACAGCAGAGACTGCGTGAGTATCATCTTATTTAAAAACAGAACAAATAAAGTCTGACTTAGAGATTATATTTAAAGCCACCAGTTTGCTTATTTTGTGTATGAACAGGAAGCAGTGCTTTTAAAATGCACCCCATTCTGGGGTTCTGTTATATAACACTGTGCATGTAGTTGACAATATTGACATGTACACATGGAAATGTTGAAAGGGCAAATTGTGTTTAATTGCTACAATTTGCTTATAAATTGGTTACATTTATTTATTTTATCTTCACCTGATTTTTATATATATATATATTTATTATTATTATTATTATTATTATTTTTCATTGCTTTTAGAGAAAGAGGAAGGGAGAGAGAGAGACATCAATGCCGGGGGGCAGCATTGGCTGGCTGCCTCCCGCATGTACCCAGACCGGGGACCAGCGCCCAGACCGAGGATGTTACGTGTCTGGATCGCAGGTGGCACATGCCTGTAACCCGCACCAGGGATCTAACCTGGTTGGTTACGGGACAGCACTCCAACACACTGAGCCACACCAGCCAGGGCTAAATTGGTATTTTTAAAATGTTGGGAAGAATTGTTGGCTTTTTGTGTTTTTGCTATTGTGGATAGGTTTCTACTTGTTAAATTTCCTTTATAAACAGTTAAAAATAAATTATGCTAAAGTTACCTTCAGTAATTTGAAATATCAGGTGTTTGTCTGATCAGGTGAAGTGAGTGGAGTCGGAATTTCTGAAGTCAGGAAATTGTAATGAATAGCCTAAATTCTTTCTATAGTACTGCCATCAGTGTTTTACGTGGTTCCTCAGCTTGCCCTGACTTCCACTTTGAACTGGCCTGTAGACAGTCTCTGAAGCCTGCAGGCCAGCAGTCCTTCTGCCTGCTTCAGAGAAGCCACCAGGGGTCAGAGAGGGGTCTCTGCGCAGAGCATCCAAAGGAACAGAGTTCTGGGCTGATGGTTTTCACCTTCACACCCACCTCTAGCATGACTCCCTTTAGGCCAGAGCACGTGTAATTGCAGCTGCTGCTAGTATTAATGGTTGGGACAACTATCAATGAATGAAACAGTTTCTATATTACAGATTTAAAGCCAGTCATTAATTGTCCTTTATATTTTCATTTTCAGAACAGTCACTGTTTCTTTTTCTAATCATTGTTTCTTCCCTCCATGACCCAGAAGATTCCATCTGGTCCTGGAATAGTCTTTAAGTTGATAATTCACCAGCTCAGACTGTTGCCAAAGCAGTAATTTTTGACTACTCTTGGAAAATTTTGCAGAGAAGCAAAAACCAGCCAGTATTTCTTGGTAGAGAGGGGGCAATTAATCGCTACAGAGGTAAAGACCCCAAACTAGCCAATACCCTAGCTGGCTGGAAAATATCCCAGTCTCTACAAGCTGTCAAAAGGAGAACTGCATGATACGAAGCGTTTTATGGAACATGCTGACGATTCCTAGCATGCAGATATGAAGTGCACATGTTGACTACAGCGACTTCAGGAGTAGGGCATAAAACTCACGGAAGAGTTAGAAACGAGAAGGAGAAAGAGGGAAAAGTCCTTCTGAAAGAGCGAATGAGCAAAGGCCGAAGATATAAAAGAGCCTGGCATGCGGAAAGCATGTACGGAATGATCACCGCGACATCAAATGTCCATCTAAAGAAACATGGCAGCAAGACACATTGCCAGCAGGAGGGGGTGGTTAACTAGAGTAGGGCACACCCACATAATGGAGCATTACATAAGTCAAAAAATGATGATTTAGAATTTGTATTAAATGTTTATAAATGTGGAGAGGTTTATAAAACAGTACACAAAATATGATATAAAAACAGTACAATGTACAGGGTGGGGTGAAGTAGGTTTATAGTTGTGAATATATGAAACAGAGTTTACTCTTGTTTTATTATTTATTAATTATTGTATTATGTTCCACATGAAAACAGTAAACCTACTTTTGCCCCACCCTGTATTATCCCATTTTTGTGAGAAAATTATAGTATGAGAAAAGACCAGAAGAAAACACAGGAAATACCAAGCATTGATCTCTGTGGAATGGGATTATAGATAACTTTTCTTTATACATTTGCTGACTAGTTCCTTTTTCAACAGTGACTGTGCAGCTTTCTACTCAAAATAAGTTTTAATGTGGATGCCTAAGGATCTGAAGATTCCAGGTTGGAACCTAGCACTCAACAGTTACGGTGCTTAGTTAATCAACTAATTCACGAGTTAAAGCCTTTCTTCCTGGTCACTGAAAGTGCTGCCTCGCGCGTGACACTGAGCTCAGCCAAAGGGACCAAACAGGGCGACGAGATAGCCCTTTCGCTCGCTCTGTGTGGGTCTCGACTGCACTGCCAGTCGGTGTGGGCATAGCCGGCAGCCTCTCTCACCCAGCGGGCAGCTGCCACCCCACCTCTGGGCACGTCCACGGCACGGCGGCTCCCCCGGATCATCCCCAGAGGCAAGCTGGATGGAGGTGACCGCGTGCCAGTATGGAGGGCTGGCGCCACTGGTGCGCTTCATTTATGTGTCATTTCCATCCTGAGCTCCAAGGACAGGACTTTTTTGCGGTGCGGAACCACTCGGGGCAGGACAGAAGGCCAGCTGCCCAGGGAAGGAGGGGAGGGACAGCTGGGACCAAGGCCTCCGCAGACACCTGGGTGGTGACGGCCAAGGGAGGCCCTCAGGGCCCAGGATGCGTCTCCCCACCCCAGGTACTCTCTGAACCCCTCAGTCTGAGTCTGTGCGCTTGCTTTGTACCTTCCTGTCAAAGTGCAACTCCTTGAGGACAGAAAACACACTCTGCTCATCTCTGAAACCTCTCGGGCCAAGTGGAAAACAGGCTGAATGCAACAGGGTCCCAGTAATGTCTGGCTGAGCTGAGTTAGAATGTGGCGGGAACTCTTTGATCCTGTGGTCAAAGCCTAAGAGTAATTTACAGATGCTTGGCTGTGCCATTAGAGGTTGTATTCAGTGCCATTTCATTTTAGGTGCCACGGTTTAATACATGGTGAAGCCCAGCCCACACAGCCAGGAGCCCTGTTAGGAGAGAAGGGGATTCTGTGTGTACACGCACAGAGGCGCACAGTACACACGCAGAGGTTTAGCACGCACACAAAGGTGACACTCCTCAGGGAGAGCTGTGTGGCTTGATGGGAAAGAGGCCTCCAGAGCAGGTTGGGACATGTGACTGATAAGGAGACGGGGGTGAGGGGGGTGAGGAGGATGGTACAGTCACACAGGAATCCAGTATGTATTTTTGACCATGGTCCGCGTCTTTGAATCTCACCTCCCGGGACCTCCCAAATTCTCCGGCAGGAGTTTCCTCATTTGATATACCCTATTCATGACCCAATTTTGACATTCTAAGAACTATGTGATCCTCAGCTCCCGCAGCTCTCTGAATCCATGAGTCCCAGCAAGGTGTTAGCAAGAATGTCGCAGACAGGCCAGTGAGCCAGGACAAGCGAACAGGGAAATGGAGACAGAGAGCTGAACAACCTGGCTGAGCAGTCTGCAGCCAGATGCAGAAGGTCACTCCCCTAGTGATAACATGTAGGCCTCAGCTGTATTTCAGCCCCTGGCTCTGGAGAGCAGAAGAACAGGTGGGCGAGGACGTCTGGACCCGCTGCAGGGACTGACGACCACCTGCCCTGGCACTGACCGATACGCAGAGACCACGACCCTGAAAGACGGCACCTGGAAAGGTGATGAATGTTCTGCTGAAACCCTCCCCTAAGATTCCTGCCTGTGAGAGAGGAAAACTCTAGTTCAAGGACCCTTCCCTTTCCCCCCGCTCCTCCTTCGCTTCTTCCCCCACAGGCGCATGTCTCCTAAACTCTAAGCATCCCCATGAGACTTGCAGCCGGGAGCAACGGGCAGAGGCAGCTCGCCCCGGCTTGCCCCCGAACCTGTCCCCAAAGCCCCCATTTCTCTGACTTCCCAGTGAGTTAAGGCAGCTCAGCCTGGGCTCTCCTGTTCCTTCTTCTGTGCCAAGCCCTTCTGTTTCACTGTCCCCAGCTTTAATAAACACACCCTCATAGTCACCCCAACTGGTGAGAAGTTTTCCTGCAGGAAGCCGAGAACCCACACGCACACTGCTGGCTCCCCAGGCAGACCCTCTCAGGGCCAGCCCTGTCCTCTAGCAGGTGGCATGCCGCAGGGGCCCGGCCCGCCCTGTACCTTCAGAGGGAACTGCTGGGTGACTTCTGGCACGTAGGAGGCCCCGGCCTGCTTCTTGTGCAATGACACGACCACAAAGTACTCGAAGAGCTGCCTCTCCTGGTACTCGATAAGCTCCCGGTCAAGTGATGGGTATCTCGGAGCCTGCTTCAGGCGGGACTTCACGTTGACCAGGCGCTGGCTGTGAGCTGGAGAGCGAGAGCAAGGGGGGGAGGAGAGAGAGAGAGAGGGGGGGAGGGAGGGAGGGAGAAGAAAAAGAGAGAGAGAGAGAGAGAGAGAGAGAGAGGGAGTGAGCCTGAAAACGACCTGTTCTCCAATGTGCAACTTCACTGAGCTGCAACAGGCTATGTAACTCCCAGCTCAAAAGTACTTTTTGTGATCCCAAAGAAGTGTTCCCAAAAAACTGTTCCCACATTTAACAAATTAGTACAGACTTTCTTTGGGATCCTTGCCAAAATTCTGGGAGGAGCCACGTTCACCAGGCCGCCTGGCTGCCGGGGCGCAGCCACTTGGACTGTGGGGCCTCAGCTCCGCCCCGGATTTGCTGTCTGGACTTGGGGCAGGGCCTGGAGCAGTGCTTGCGCCCCCTCTGTCAGGTGTGGTAGGGACAGTGACTCCTCCCCTCACTCATTTTCCTCCTCCTGCTGATGTGGGGTATGGCAAAATCCAACCGCTAGAGCTTTTGGAGCCAGGAGCTTTGTGAACACCCCGTGTGACTCGACCGGCAGAGAGCTGACCAAGAGAAGCGCCGCCGCTGGCCTCCCCTTGGGCCACCACCCTGCGCAGCCGAAATGAGCCGCTTCGGTCTGGGGGCGGCCGGGAGCAGCTGGGCGTCAGGTGAACGAGGCGGGGCTGCTGGGCAGACGGCTCTGGTCGCCTTGCGCCGCAGGCCTGGCCTACAGCTTCCTTTGGCTTCCACCTGGGTCTGAGAAATTGCAGAAAACTCGCTGAAGCCTGACCTGAATCACCACAGTGTGATCCCCAGGGAGCAATTATGTCAATGACTTCACATGGCAGACGAAGAACTAGAGGCCCTGAGAGGCCATGTGAGTTCCTCCAGATCACGCGGCCGTTTTCACAGAAAGGGGGCCAAAGCCCCAGGCGTCTGGAGTCACAGGCCGGTGGCGGGGTACCTCACACAGGTGTGAACCACACCTGTGACATAATGGAAATATGTGGGAAGAGTGGGTCCCTGCAGGTGCAGCCACCCTGGACCTCTGGCGTGGAACAGGCCCATTCTTGTTGTGCTGAGGACTGACCCGCCCCTGAGCATCCTGGGCCCCGTCCCTTGGTCCCTTGAGACATTCACATTCACATTCACGCTTTGCAGTCAAGCTCTTGCAAGGACGTTCTGCCTCGTCCCTCCCATGAAGCAGTTAGGGCCCTGCTTATGGCTTCCCGGTCACCTGCATGCACCCTGCACAGCCACTCATCTTACCTTTCAGCTTCTCTTCGGTGTCACTGTCAGACTCACTGTTCTCATCTGTCACTAGAGAGGGCGGGGGAGAGAGGGAGCGAAGGAGGGAGGGAGAAAGGAAAGAAAAACAAATGTGAGTTTTTCTGATACAGGAACTTTTTATACGTGGTAGCACAAAGCCAAGATTTCTAGTTCAGAAGGGCTGTTTTATTTTTGTATATTTAAATGTAATGGAGAAACCATGTCTAACTAAATGTACTTCTAAATTAATTTGGCCCTAGCTCAGGTGGTGCCTATATCAAATTACACAGCACAAGGCGCCAGCCCCTTTCCCACACGCTGAGCTGAGCAAAGCGGACTGCTCCTGCGGTGCAGTCAGAGCCTGCTGCCCTGGGCTCGCTGGTGGGGGGACAGGCAGAGGGGAGCCGAGGGCTGCCACCAAGCGGCGCTCCTGCCTGTGCCACTGTCCCGGGGGCGCTGGAGACATTTACAAAACACCAGCTTGTTCTCCTTGGTGAGCCAACCTAAGGCAGCAGCACCCTGCTTCCAGGGAGAATGTTTCCGGGTCCCCGGGGAGAAGGGATGGTGTGGGGTGCTCCCACCTTTTCCTGAGTTGCTCTCCGTTGACTGGGACAGCCTCTTCACCCGCTTCTTCCCTCTCCGAGCCTCATAAATGGCATTGATTCGTGCCACCAGCTGCCAGACACCGAGAGAAGAAACGCCCGTGTTAGCGGCCTCCTCCCCACGCGCAACTGGGATCCCTTCGCCACCAGCACTGATGGAAGCATGGCGCACACACTGTGGTTACTCAGCCATGAGGGAATATTCTTCAGCCCAGAAAGGAAGAACATTCTGACTTACAGTCTAACACGAATAAACCTGGAGGACATTATGCTAAATGAAAGAAGCCAATCACAAAGAACAAATACTGTGCGGTCCCATTTGCATGAGTAGGAGCACAGGCAAGTCCATGAGGAGGGAGTGAGTTAGTGTTCAACGGGTTCACAAGTTTGGTTTGGGGAGAGGACAGGCTCTGGGGATGGATGCTGGTGACGGTTGCCCAACAGTGTGAACGTACTCAGTGCCACCAAACCGCACACTTAAAAAAGGTTTGAACGACAAGTTTTATGTTATGTACACAATTTAAAAACTGTAAGTACAATAAACAAACGAGTTGCTAGGTCAAATTCTTCTACGGAACAGAGGGAAATTTTAAACCCATTCAAAATCTCCCCCCTAAACAACCAAAAATCAGTGCCTAGGAGGAAGACTGTCAGGCTGTAGCGAACCTCCTTCCACTTACTCAAACCCAATGGCCTCAGAAGGCAGGCGCCGTGTGCGCGGGGGTCCTTGCTTGTGCCGGACCGGCACCTGCGCGGGAGGGAACAGCGCCCGGCCCACAGGAGAGACGCAGTAACTATTTGTGAACTGTGAATTTCTTACCAAATACAAAGCACCTATTACGTACAAGGGATTTTGCCAGGAGCTGTGAGGGAGGAAAAGGTATAGCAGACAGGCACCTGCTCTCAGAGTTCACAAGCTAACAGGGAAGACCGAGGCGCGTCCGCAACAATCACGTGAGACACCTCGGGGGTGCTCCGTGAGCAGTGTAGCCAAGTGCCTGAGAGAAGGCTGTCTCACTCTACATCAGGTCATGGAATGAAGGGAAGCCACATCTATGTCAGTCAATATATCTTTGCTCCTTTTTATTAGAAAAATGCCCTTTCCTGGCAGGTGTGGCTCAGTCGATTGAACGCCAGCCTGCAAACCAAAGGGTCGCCGGTTCAATTCCCAATCAGGGCACATGCCCGGGTTTTGGGTTCAGTCTCAGTGGGGGTGCTTACGGGAGGCAACCAGTTGATGCTTCTCTCTCACATGAGAGGGTGATGTTTTTCACCCTTTCTTTCTCCCTCCTTTCTCCCCTCTCTAAAAATAAATAAATAAAATCTTAGGGAAAGAAAAGAGCCAGGAGAGGTATATTTTTGATGACTGCTGCCTAAGAGCCCAGGCTCCGCGTGGCGCTGCCTCTGCAGCAGGCGCTGAGGTGCTCTGAGCCAGAGCAGGGCAGATGGAACGCTACTGCTTGAGGCCACGAAGAAGGAAGATGTGGCCTTTGAGGACTGGGCTTTGGAAACATCGTCTGGGATCAGAAGAGTAGCTAAGGCTGGGAGAAGGAAGGTGAAGTGGGAGGCTTCAGGGCCACCAGGCACCCCATCCTGCTGGCGTCACCGGGCCCTCTGGCGGCCTGCTCAGCCCCCTCTGCAGCCTTCCTCGGCAGGGAGGGGGAGGGCACAGCTGACCACGAAGCTTGTCGCAGGCCCTACCTTGGGTATCTTCCTCTTCTTCCTGCCATTCGGTGGGTCTCCAAGGTTAAAGAAAGTGTCATCGGGGCTGCTGGGGGTGGAGGGGGGGCTGATTTTGGAGGGGGACCCCATTCCATCCCTACTCAGCTTCCTAGTGTCCAGCAGTTTGAAGTTCCTCCTCTCTGAATTTTGCCGGAAAAAAGCAGGTTTGGACAGCAACTGCTGTGAGGGAAAGAAAAAAGAAGGATAAATGATTACAGAAGGGACTGGCTGGGGGTCGCTGGCGGTGCCGGTGATGGAGACCACGAGCCTGAGGAGGGGAGCTGGGCTAGGCTCCGGGGATGTGGACTTGGCTGTGCCCGTAAGTGCTCAGTAACACCGCCATCCAGTTGCGGAAAGTGAGTATGATAAAGGATGCCGGTGTAATCCACTCTCTTTTTTAGACACTCACTTGGCACAGTCACTTCACTGATGAGGCTTTCTGACAATCCAAGCCACACTGTGTACAAGGTGGTACAAGCCCTAGGTCTAGTTTTGACCTTGCCGCTGGCAAGCTAAGTGCCTCCTATATGAGGAATTTCAAGTCTCTGGCTTCAGGTGCTTTAAGGTCATAAGGCAAACAAAAAACTGGTAAAACACCCTGACTGGTGTAGCTCAGGGGGTTGGGAGTCATCTTGCAAACTGGTCTGACTCCTGGTCAGGGCACATGCCTGGACTGCAGGCCAGGCCCCCAGGTGGGGATGTGTAAGAGGCAACCAGTAGGATGTCTCTCTCCCTCTCTCTCTCCCTCCCTTTCCCTCTCTCTAAAAATAAATAAATAAGATTAAAAAAAAAACCAAACCAAACCCTGGTAAGACATGTTGTGTACTTCACAGAGCTCATTTTCCTAATGCATGCTACAAGTAAATGAGAAGACTAACAATTCAAAAGAAAACAGGCAAAGGATAAGCATGGCAAGTATAGAGAATACAATGATTCTTAGATGTATAGAAAGATCCTCAGTTTCACTTATAAGAGAAAAGAAAATTAAAATGCCATGGAAGAAACATTTTTCATTCAAAGATTAGCAAAGATAAAAAAATATGATAACTCATTGAACTGGTGAAAGCAAGGGAAGAGAGTTACTTTGACACTTTCACACACTGTTCGGGGGATGGGAAATTGGTACAACTCTATGGAGGGCAATCTAGCAGCATCAACGAAAATACTGAAGAACACACCCTTTCACCCAGCAATTCCCCCTCTAGCAATTTGCCCTACCAATATGCTCATACTTGTGCAGTTATATTGTACTGGGAAAGTTGTATACTGTGCCACGATCATGTGTAAACACAAAATAATGAAACAACCTTAATGTCTATCGATGGAGGCTGATCAAATAAATTACAGTACATCCATACAGTGGAATACGACTCAGGTGTAAAAAATCTTAACATACCACTACGGAAGGTTCTCTCATTATATATTGTTAAGCATAAAAAGCAAGGTGTAGAAGAGTCGGTTTAGTATGCTGGTATTTGTGTGTGTTTGTGAGTGTGTTTTAAGGAGCTATTCCATGGTATGTGCACAATTCCAGAAGGATGCAGAGAAACTGGCAGTGGTTGCTCTGCGGAAGATAAACAGGACCCAAGCGAGAGGGATGCTTTTCACTGTATACCTGATATACTCCTTTAACTTTGAACCATATGAATATATCAACTATTCATTAAAATAATATTAATAAAATAACTACTATATGTTTTCTAAAGGTATTTTCAAGACTCACATTTTCTACTATAAATATAGTTGCAAAGTCTTTTTTTAAAAATTAATGGATTAGATTATATGAGGCACCTAGTGGTGGACCTAATATACAACCAGCATTCGATATTAAGTTATTTTTCGTTCTTCCTCTTACAACATTGACTTATTTCTTACTTTAATGTGCAACCTGCATTTTTATTTAGTATACTGTTTATATTCTTTGCCTATTTATCTTTTGGGATACCAGTGTTTTTCTTACTAATTTGGATGCGCTTCCTATATAGATCAGATATTAAATATTTGTCAGTTTCGCTGCAAGTGTGTTTTTCCCATGTGGTTCATTTATATTTTTATTTTGGTTATGTGACATTTTTCGCATCACATTTTTATATATGCAGATCTGTTCATCATTTCCTTTGTAAATGATTTAATCTTTGCCTAGAAAATCTGTATATTTTTAGAGGTTTAATAAATACTTAATTCCATTTTTTCTGGATTCTCTTAAGTTTATTTTGAACGTAATTTATTCATTAATCCATCAGCAATTTATTTTATTGTATGTTAGTTTAAGTTGATTTTTCCCCAGGCTAACTTAACCCTATTTCATTTAATAAGTGAGCCTTTCTTTTTCTGTCATTTTATAAGCCCACATTTATCACATCTTAAAACTCTCACAGAATAGGCTTATTTCATTCCATTGATTTCTCCACTCTTGTTTAGCTCCAACTGGTGTGTAACAACAACTTTAGGCCCTTTCCCTTTTAAAGCCTGCCAGGAACAAAGGCCCCTCGCGGTCCTGAGTGGCCTGTCGCCGCCGCGTTTTACCGCGGGTCCCCAGGGAGCTCTAAAAGGCTCAGCGCTGCGAGTTCTGAGTGGAGCAGGAGGCTGCCTGGTTTGCTCAGCACGGGCATCTTAATAATTAAACCAGCACCAGAAGGAGAAATAATAATGAGCCTTCTTAAAGACCAAATTTCATCTGCAACGAAGTCCAAAGAAATGGCCTCAATTCTTTCACTGCATTGGAATCTCCTATCAAATTGTTGGCAAAAAGCAGGTATCTGTTTTCATTAAAGATTTAGATTGTGTAATGTTTGTTCAGAGAACATTTGACCTATGAAAATATCTGAGAACAGAGAAAACAGAAAGGAATCAAAACACTGCACGTTTTCTAAAGGGTGAAAGAGACCCAGGGGAGGCCGGGGGTGGGCTACACCTCTCAGTGGTCACACTGCTGGAGGAAGGGGCCCTGGTGGGTCTCGGGGCCCCCCCATAAGTCCCAAATGTCCAGGGAGCTTTCAGGAAGGGGCGGGGTTTCAGTAGCTACTTAACTGATAAAAAGAGGAGTTGGTGGGCTGTGGAGGGAGCATCAAAGTATGTAGCACCATCCAAGAACAGGCACAGAGGGGAGGAAGAGCAAACAGACCGGAGAGTCTTCATGCGGCGATACACCAATGAAGACACCCAGCTGTCTGTGGAAGGCCTTGCAAAGGGAGCCTGTAAATCTTGGACTTGCCAGAGGCCAGCGAGCTTTTTCTTCAAGGCCAGACAGTAAATGTTTTAGGCTCTGTGGGCCATACTGTCTCTCTCACAACTACTACAACTCTGCCATTTTAGTGCAAGAGCAGCCACAGACAATGTGTCAACCAACCAGTGTGGTTGTGTTTCAATAAAACTTGATTTACAAAACCAGGTGACCAGAAGTAGTTTGTCATACTTGAATCATAAACTAGAAGGGCATTCACTGGAGGACCCTAAGGGTGACTGTGGCCCAGAGAAGATTCCCGGTGTCGATCGGAGCGTCTCACACCAGCAAGCCCTGGTAACCATGTGCCCAGTCCCGCCGTCTGCGGAGCAGCCTCTACGCAGGGCCTGGCTCGGTGGCAGAGGCCCACAGAGTCTCCCTAAATTTACAGGCTGTGGATTCAGAATGGACCTAAAAGAGAGCTGTAGTGTCCAAAGGGCAAAGCAGACAGGGACTCTCTTTTGAAATCTCGAGTTATTTCAAGAGACCAAGCGCGCGGAGCCCTGGCCCAGGGGCATCTTGGTGGGGAGGGGGTGCTGGGCAGCGGGGACGCTGTCTGCCTCCCGGGGCAGCCGGCACTACAGTAGAATGACGGAGTATCCCTCAGGCAGTAAACATGTTTTTTTAAAAGAAATTAATGACATGGGGAAATAGTCATGATAACTATGTATAAAAGAGCAGCAAGCTATTTATACAATATAATCCCAACGCTTTTTTTAAAATTTACACACACACACACACACACACACACACACTCACACACACTCACACACAGTGTGAGACAGCCTGGAAGGAAATAAACTGAAGTGTTAACCGTGGTTATCTCTGGGTGTTGGGATTGCATGCAGCCTTTAAAAAGACCCATAAAACACACAGGCACACACACAACAACAATCTATTATAGAAAAATAAAATATAAGTAAGCATAAAGAAAAAAACTAAGGTCCTCTATTATTAATGAGTTTTGTGTTCTTAATTACACTTTTCAGTATTAAAAAAATGTTTACAATGAGAATGTATTTCTATTTTCTGAAAAAAAAAGGCTGTATTTAAAAGAACATATTGAAAAGCATTATTCTGTATTTAGCAAACATATATAGGACTTGTGTTGCAGGCACTAACCTAAGTGGTTTATGAGTGTTAATTTGATTAATCATCATAAGGCCCCAAAGAGGGGTATCCTATCATCGTCATTCTTATTTTACCAATGACAAAAGAGACACACAGCGATGAGGCCGCTCCGCTTAAGTCCCCCAGCTACCGGGAGGCCGGGGCAGGTTCTGGACGAGCAGTCAGGTTCTCGAGCCTGCACATTTGACCAGACGCTGCCTCTCTGTAGCTACAGCAGAGTGGCACAGGATCTGCTGGTGGGGGATGGTGTGGGGGGCATCCGGGCAACCAGAGAACGCTAGTGATACACCTTTCCCTTGGGGGTCATTACCTAAAAAAGAGTATCTCATATTGGCCAAGATCTCCCTTCCTATAAACATCAGTTCCTACGACGTTCACAGCATGTTGGAGGTGTGGGGTAGTCGGTCACACGGAACAGGAAAAGGACGTGTCCCTTCTCAGGGCCTTGCATTGTGTGTAAGTATTAGCATCTGTGCTTGGCTGCACGTCAGCTCTTTTCTAGGGCAAGTCTGTCCAAAGGACCCTTCCCTTTCTGCTGGGACCAACTAATTAGGTGAAAATCCCAATGTAATGTAATGTAATGACATTTCAATAAAATGATGAAATATCATTCAGGATCTTTCTGTGGCTGGTAGAGGGGTCACCCAAAAGGGACGGCTCCAGCAAGTTCTGAGGTCCCAGATGTCGCCCAGATGTGGCATGAATATTCAAGCAACTTCGTGGAGGAAGTGGAGAAGTGTGCAGCTGCCTCAGGACAAGGCACAAAGCAGACGCCCAGATGAGGGAGAGGAGAGGAAGGCACGTGGACAGAGCCCACAGAGGCCTGCAAGTCTCCGTGGCAACTGGACGTGTGCTCTGGGCGACTGGGTCATCCTCCGCGGGAGAGCTGCCTCTCAACCTCTAAGTTCTTGCTCACTCAACTGCCTACTTGTTTCATGATTTTGGGGGCAGAGGACCTAGGTTTTTCAGGCCTGGCAGGAAGGGGAAGGAAAGGGCCAAGCCTTTCTTTCCTGGCCTGAGGGAGCAGAACCCGTTCTGAGTGCAGAGCTGCTCCGCATGGGCGGTGTCCTTGTTCCTAAGAGGCCCTGCAGTTCACTCTGCATGGAGGCGAGGGCAGCACGGGGTGGGGTGTGAAGGAGGCAGGTTCGGGGTGACAGCCTTTTCTAAGGATTTCCTAGGTGTCGATGACACTTAGTTCAGCCAATGAAAACAAAGCACATTTCATGGCTGTCATTGATTATTCATGATGACACTCCTTCCACAGGAGGAGAAAATAGAGGTTAACCGCAAGCACTGCAGCGATGGCTTTGGGTCTGTAAGATCCACCCTTCAGGGCAGGCTCTACCTTCAACTCTCTTCAGTAAGACTGGTGGCCCAAAGATCCCCTTGGTGACCATCAAGCAAAAAGGCGTGCCTCACGCGCAGGCCCCGCTGCCAGCGGAGGGAGCTGCCCCCCCACGGGGCCTGGAGAGGAACGGCGCTGCTTTTCTGAGGTGGGACACGGGGCTTTGCGAGGGGACCACACGGACGCTCGCCGCCTGGACTTGGCCTTCCTTTGTAATTTCTTCAACATCTAAACATTGTGTAACTACCTCTCACGGGAGACACAAGGAAACAGCACACTTCCTGACCTTGAGGAATTTACAATGTAGTGGGGAAGGTGTTTTTAAGGTATGTTAGATGGCTTCAATCAGATTTCAAATCATGAAAGGAAGTGATGGCATAAGGCAGGATACACGGTTTGGTGTGAAATGCATGCTTTAGCCCACTGAGTCCTGCGGGCAAGCGGAGGGGAAGGAGCCCAGCGTCTGGGGTGGCCTGGAAGCTTCCTGAAGGAGGCACCACTGAGCAACCTTCAAGGGTGCGGAGAGGGGTTCAGGCCGGAGCCAAGGGCGGAGGGAGGGAGGACCCAACGCAGTGGCGGGCGAATTACCACCTGTGGGCCACACCTGGCCCGCTACCTGTTTTTGTACAGGCCAGGAGCTAAGAATGGTTTTGACATTTTTAAATGGCTAAAACATATATGTATTTCATGACACACGTAAGTTACGTAAAATTCAAATTTTATCTGTAAAGTATTACTGAAACACAGCTGCACTCGCTCATTTGCGTATTGCCTATGGCCTCTTTCTACTGCGATGGTCATGCTGAGTAGTCACAGCAGAGACTGTATGTTTATTACCTGGCTCTTTGGAGAAAAAGTTTACCAGTCCTGGACCTGTCATATCAGACGGGCAGGCAGCAGGCTCTCGTTGGAGGGGGGCTCTTATATGAGGAGCTGTGTGAAATGAGGTAGCAGTGGGTGCCTGGGGATCGATTACGGAGGAAATGTGATACTCTGGCAAGGAACATGAATTCAGTCTTATGGGCAACGGGTTAAAATTATCATGTCCATTAATCTAGTTATGTTCTCTATATATACGTAATTCTAAAGGTTCAAAAGGATATTCTGTAATAAATGTCCGCCTGCTCCCCTGACCTCCGGGCGCTCAGCACTCAGACAGCTCCACAGGGGCACCCCCTAGTCAGTCTCAGACACCCTTCTGGAGAGCTTCCTTTACAAGCTCAAACAAATGAGGTTACATAAATGTATGATCTTTCATTAAAAACCCCACAAATCGTGGCACACAATAAAAATACTATTCCTGAACCATGCTTTTCAGTTCTATATTTTAGAGTTTGCGTTATGACATTACTCTTCACGGTCCTATGCCTATACACGAGCTTATTTACCTAGTGGGAGAGGTTTCTAATGCAGAAACAGCTACAGTGACCCAGAGCTCCAGGCTGCTCAAGGCCATGGGGCTGGGGCCCCTTGTCCCACCACACTCCCTAGGGGGCTCTTACCTTGGTGGATGTGTCAGGGATGGAAGAGGTGGGAGAACCAGGAAAATTCAGGACACACTTCTTTCCCAGGCAGCGACCATGTAATTCAACATCCTCATAAGGGTTTTCCTTCATTGGTGGATCTGTGATCAAAGGCAACGGGTCAGAGACTGGGAAATAGAGGAAGTTTTCCTTATCGGATCTACTCAACATCCCGGCCTCTCCTTGTGTGGTGGTCTGATGTCTTGCTATCCATTCTTCTTTCCTCTTGGTAACAGACCCTGATTGTCACAGGGGTATCTCCCTGTCTCCCATCCTTTGAGGTGTGAGATTAATTCCGCGCGTTTCAGGACTTCAGCCAATCGGAGTTTCCCCGAGTCCCTGCCTCAGCGACCAGTGCCCGGAAGGGCTCATGCCTCAGGTCTAAGCCAATCACCACATGGCACTCCGGGGCTCTGCAGGTGAACAAAGGACCTGAACTGATCTAGTGGGACTGAGCCCCAGGGTTTTTGCTGGGACTGGTAGGGTACTGACTCTTCGTCCAGGGAGCCAGCTGTGGGAAACCTGCTGGGAATGGAGCTAACCTGAGAGATAAGAAACAAGGAAGAAAAAGCCAGTTCTGGTCTCAGTTCTTCATCTGGGTCTCCTGTTCCTTGCAAGGGAGAGCTTCCCTGGCAGGTGGACACACTGCTAAGGCCAGTCCAGATCTCACACTCACTTTGGATTTGGGAAGCCTACGGCTTTGGCAGGAACCCTCTCCACAGCTTGGACATGGCAGCTCACGGTCTGTGGTGCAGCGTGAGGGACGCAGCTAAGCATGTGCCTCTTTCCACGCTGGTGTCCCCTGCCTGTGGGGTTTTCCCGGGAGCGACTGTGTGCGTGTGCGCATGTGTGTGTCGGCCTTACATGGCCCTTCCACGTGGACACGTGTGGGCTTCTTCCTCTGACCAGCTCGGTTTTTTCCCCACCCCCCGCCCTACCCCCAACATGCAGAAGCTGGTCTGAGCTTACGCCCCACTGAAACTGTGATCTTCCCTGAAGATACTTCAACTCACCAAAGTTACTTTTTAAAATTTTTATTAAATTTATTGGGGTGACCTTGGTTAAAAAGATTTATAGGTTTCAAGAGTACGATTCTGTGATACATCAGCTGTATACTGCGTTCCCACCCACCAAAGTCAAATTGTCTTCTCTCACCATATTTATAAGTATATTTGACCCCTTTATCTTTACAACTTCCCCACCCCCCTCTTCCCTCTGATAACCACTCTACTGTTGTCCGTGTCTGAGTTTTTTGTTTTGTTTGTTCATTTATTGCTTTCAGTTTTACATCCCACATATGAGTAAAACCATATGACTCTTCTCTTTTCCTGTCTGACTTATTTTGCTTAGCATGATATTCTCAAGGCCTATCTGCGTTGTCACAAATGGCGGTTCAGTGTTTCATCTTTTCTTATGGCTGAGTTAACTCACCGCATTTAAATACATACAAACTCTGTGAATCTGAACCTGACTTTGGAACATGAGAGATTCTTCAGAGCTAGGCTACAGTTTCTTTTTCAATAGCAGACATTCAATTTAGTCTCAATTTTGACGACCTATTACTGCCAAACTCCTCCAGTTTCAGGAAGAGTATGGCAGCCTTTAGTTTTCTTTCATTCAGTGATCCCCACGATTTACTGCGCATCTGTTATAAGTCAGGGATTTTACATACCATTTTCTCTGGTCCTCAAACAACCCCACAAGGTTGCTACCACCGTCCTCAGTCTACCAATGAGAGAACTGAAGTTAAGGGATGTTAAGCCACCAGTTCAACGTCATAAAGCTAATAAGTTGCGGGGCCGAGACTGAACCATGGGTCCTGAGGCTCCATCCAGCTCTCCAGAGCAAACTAGGCCACCTCCCTGGCTGCTGATCATCACACCTTCCTCTCCTCCCGCCCCGTGTTCTCTCACCTGTTCTGCCGTGGGGCGCTCTTCCACTCACCTACCTGCTCTCTCATGCCGTGGAGTACATGGATGTCTTGGAGCGTGTGTGTGTTTCAAGCCCCCAGCCCCATTTCTTCTCTCCCATTTCGCAGAGACAGACTCACACCCATACATACACCCTTTGGCCTCTTACCTAGAATGTCTTCATAGACGTTTTCCTCTGATAAAGTGCGTGTGAGCCCCAGCTTGGTCTGTGCATACCAGTCGACCCTGCTGTTCTCCAAGGAAGATTGCAGTAGGTCTTCAAACTCATAGGACTTTCTGGGTTGTATCAAATGAGAGGGGGGAAAAACAAGAATCGAATCAAATTAGGCTAGTTCAGAGACTATATACCAAAAAACACTTTTTTTCCTTGCAAAAATTCCTATTACTGAAATCAACTCTGGTTTTTGTAAAAAGGTATAAAAACTCTCAAACATGAGATGTAGCTTTGACTTGAAAGAATGTTTATGCTGTTATGCCAAATAAGATAGCAAAGTATGTATATATAAAAGGCAGTCCCAACTTTTCAGATTTTATTTATTTACTTTTTTAGAGAGGGGAAGGGAGGAAGAAAGAGAGGAAGAGAAACATCAATGTGTGGTTGCCTCTCATACACCCCCAACCAGGGACCTGGCTTGCAACCCAGGCATGTGCCCTGGCTGAGAATTGAACTGACGACCCTTTAGTTCACAGGCCAGCACTCAATCCACTAAGCCACACCAGCCAGGGCAAGTCCCAACTTTGTAAGCAAACATATACAAAGAAAACAAAAAGAAGAAAGTAAAATACACTAGCTGCTATCTGGGTTTCATTCAGGACTGAGGGTTGGCTCCTGGCTTCCCTTCCCTTTTTCTTTTCTGGACTTCTCAAACGTCCCACACTGTTTAGAGAGCACACACATGAATAATTAGAGAGCAGCAGTGGTGGCCAGTTCCGAGCGGACCAGAGGCCGGGCCCCACTCCGCCAGTATGTGGTTATCATCAGAATGAAACCCAGCGGCCGTGAGACGCCCCACCCTGCCCCTCAGACATCTGTGCAAACTCGGCCGGGCCTCAGTCTGTGGCCTGGCTCACTCCATGGCTTTCTACGGCCCCCGCCCCACATCCACATGGGTGGTCCCTGTTCTGACGGTGTGGATCAGAGTCTCTCTCTCACAGACACATAGCCACTCACCTTGAGTTTCTATGGTTTTTGTAACTTTACTGAACATGTGGGAGGTCATGAGGTGGGTCCTATTGTGAAACATACAAACCATCAGCCACCTCAGGTTCACTCTGCCTCCCCCGCTTTTCTTCTCTCCTTCCTTCCTTATCCTTCTCCAAAGCAACCCGGAGCCTTCCCCCAGCTGGAACAGAACAGCCCTGCCCGCTCAGATTTGCCTAGGCAGACTTGTCCAGACTTTTTCTGCTGAATATGCTTGGGCCTTCCTTGAATGGGACTTAGGTGGACAAGCAATCCCCCCACACTAAACAGGACACACCCCCAGCTGACCTTGGTCCTGGCCCTTCACTCCCCCTCGGAGAGGGCCCAGAGGGCGGAGCCCGGCCAGGGCTCAGGAAGCGGCTCTCCTCTCGTTTTGGTCATGAGTCTAGCGCAGTCTTCTACACGAGCCAGGTGGTAAACTGCAGCTGACCACCCAGGAATTCAGGGCGTCTGTTTCTTCACCCGCACTTCCCATGTCTCCCTGGCCCTGGGGAAAGTGCCCCACTGGGTACAGAGCTGGGGTCCTTCACTCACAAGCCTTTTAACCTTGGCTGGACCACTTAGCCGGGGTGAAACTCAGTGTCCTGATTTGTAAAATAGTAACTATCTCTTAGGATTGTCCAAAGCATAGCAGGGAGAACGCTGGCCAACTCCTCAGTACCTAACGGGCACTCAACAAATGGTAGCTATTATAATTGATGCAGCGAACATTTTACATTGAACTTTCCTGTGTGGGAGGCACTGAGCTCAGGGTTTGATAAATAAGGAGCCACTGAAAGTGTCCCTGCCTCAGGAGCTTACATTCTAGAAAGGAAGAGACATTCGGCCGCTCGGGCCAAACAGAACTGTAAATGTGTGAGCTCAACGACGGGAAAGAACAGGCAAATGAGACCATCCAGGAGGCCTCCATTTGGGCTGGGGGCGCATCCGGGGAGGCCTCGGTGAGAAAGTCGCCCGGCCAGGCTGGGGCCTGAGGAGTAAAAGGAGCCTTCTGAGTAGAGGGAAGGGCATGTGTGACGGTCGTGTGGCTGCAGAGAACTTGGTGTGTCTGTGGACGCGCCAGCGTCCAGCCAGGCCTGCCTGCGGGGACGCGGGTGACGAACGCTGGGCAGAGAGAAGGCAGAGCCGGCCAGACGCCGTGCGCCTGCTCTGCAAACTTTGAGGGTTTCTTGCCATTTTAAAGCTCTTCCTCTTTACTAGTTTCTCCCTTTGCTTCTTTAAACATGCTCAGGTTTCCTCTATCTTGAAGAACTTTCATTTGAAGGAATGACCCTGGTAGTTCTGCTATTTCTCACCGTCCTGGCCAACATTTCCAGCCAAGGGCAGGGGCAGGGGTGGGGTGGAGGCTATTCTCACTGTCTAAGTGTTAGTTTACCATAGTTCACCAGTTTTCTCTCTCCCTCACCTTCTCAACCAGGCATCTCTAAGCATCCCGTTTCTGAAACTGTCTCCTAAAAGTTACTAGTGAGTTTCCAGTGAAACTTAACCACTTTCTTGGACCTTTTCTTACATGACACCACTTTTCTTTACATGGCGCCTCTCAGTTTCTACAGTGCAAGAGCGGCTGGTCCATGTGCAACCATAGCCCAGGGCTGGTGTGTCAACTGCTGCTCCTGGTCCTTGATAAGGGGAGTACAGAAATTGAGAGTGAGCATTTAGGAACTTTTTACACAACTGAAAGAACACATTTTTTTTAAAAAAAGATGAGGCTTGTACATACTGTTGTCTTTTTTCATTTCATTTCTCTGGTCTTTTATTACATTTCACACCAGTGCTGTTCGGCCAAGCACTGTGAACACATGTGCACAGGCCCTGAGAAGCCCGGGGCAAGGCTCCTCCCACCCCTCGCCACTTCCCCTCTCACCTAGCACTTCCTGGGCCATCGCGGGAAGCTCTCTCCCTCTTCCTCTTCCTCGTCCTGGGCTATGGGTGCTTCCCAAGGCTTTCCCTCTTTAGGCTCTAAACTGTAATTTCTCTACATCTGAATTTATCGCCCCTTATTGGCACCCCATCCTCACTCCTTTATGAACTTGAACTTGGCACTTAGGGCAGGAGCACAAAGAAGGGCCAAGCTGGAAGCTTCCGTGCTGGGTGTCTAGGGCCTTACGTCAGGCCATGAGGCTACAGCTGTCACCTATATCCTGGGTTCCTGACCTACTACTACCAGAAGCTCATGCCCATGAGGACAGGCTACCAATCCAGGGGCCCCTCCTTCCTCTCCTTGACACATCTGGCCAGGAAGAAGGACTGAGCTTCAAAGCTCTAGCAGATGGGGTCTGCTGGTGGAGGTGGGGGCGGTGGGGAGCAGGCCCAGGCTGCTTTGTCCAGGATGAGAAGGGCTCTGCTGTGAACCCGCCCCAGACAACTCCCGGTCCGGACTGCCGTTAGCGAGCCCAGGCCAGCCTTAGCCCAGCGGCTGGCTGGGGAGCGGCGAAGTGGCTGCACTGGGCCACGGCTCCAGGGTGAGCCCATCAGATGACGTCAGCTAGAGTGTTCCGTGCAGCCGCTGCCTAGAGTTGCTAGAAGAGATGCAAACTGTTCTGTGAGACCACAGACGCGTTCATTCAACAACAGTGACTGAGAACCAACTAAGGGCTCTACCTGGATTAGCACGATTGGACCTTGCAACAACCTTGTGAAGAATTACTATTATTGCACACATTTATGTGTGAGCAAACAGATGTGTAGAGGTTAGATAAATTGCTGAAGGTCAAGCTGGGAGAAAGTGGTGGACCAGGGAGTCTTCTTGGAGACTGGTGCTCTGAACAGCACAGGCACGGAGCAGAGCGTGCAAGCACTGCCTTTTCTCAAGGCCATGCATGAGAAAAGCTGCGGTCACAGTCTGCAAATTAGAAAGAGTTCAGTTTCCAGAGTCTGAAGTTATGAACTTGAACTAATTTTCCATACAAAATCATATTACACGTCCTGTGAATTAGCCAGCAGGCCCTCTAGTTCCCTCGTAATGTAAGTAAATTATGCAGCGAAGAGAAGCTATGAACCCTCATAGGAAAAAGAGGGGACAGGCTGGGTCCGTCCCTGGGAGCTGTGCCGTTTCCTCCATAATGTCGGAAGCCCTGCTCCTGACAGCAGAGGGACAGGCGGTGGCCACCGCCGACAGGGAAGGCCCTGAAGGTCTAGGATTCGAGCAGGACCCTGCCTGAGCTTGGCCATTTCTTTGATTTCAGAAAGCAGCTGCAGCTATTCCTTGCTTTGCTATGGAGACAGCTCTATAATTGCTTTTATTTTTAAAAAATCCCATTTGAGGCACCTATGAAGCAATATTTGCATAGGTCAAATTTTAAAATGAAAAATTTTTATGAAGTACCTATGAAATAACATCTGATAATTCAAATGTTTTAATAATAAATGCTGTGACAACAGATGTTTGCATGCTCTAGGCTCTCCAAGTCCCAGCAGGCGGCTCACTTACTTAGAACAGATGTAACACAACCTGGATTATCTGTTAGGGTTTGTTGGGATGGGATTAGCCTGTATCCAAATTGCTGCTGTCCACCATCCAGGGATCTCAAGCCAGGATTTGAATGCTTTTTATGATGCTTCCATAGTTCCAAGAACAAGATGTTAATATAAGAGTTTAGCTATACTTTCCTTTTAATTCCCAACACATAAAAGGTACCGACCCCCAGTCTAAATAGCATCAGAAAATGAATTTTTAAAAACTATAAACTTTCTTAAAAAACTTATTAGAGGATGGTTATTCACATTGCAAAAATCCTTATTTGCAAAAGAATTCATCACAAGATTTCTCCATATCTGTATTTAAATGTTGGTTTTCAGGTGACTAATTCCTACGTAGGAAGCCTGAAAGACAAAGAGAATTTTTCTGAAGATTTTATTTATTTATTTTTAGAGAGAGGGGAAGGGAAGGAGAAAGAGAGGGAGAGAAACATCAATGTGTGGTTGCCTCTCACGCACACCCCTCACTGGGGACCTGGCCTGCAACCCAGGCACGTGCCCTGACTGGGAATCGAACCGGCAACCCTTTGGTTTGCAGGCCAGCACTCAATCCACTGAGCCACACAAGCCAGGGCCAAAGAAAATTTTAAATCAACAT